CGTGGCAGGCCGCAGCTGCGGGATGGGACCGCTCCGTGCGGCGTCTCCCGGGAGCTCCCCGGCCATCTGCGGGTCAATGAGAGACAACCGGCAGCATCTGGCAGACATGGCCACGGGAGGTGAAATCACTCACCAGCGAGAGGGTGGACGGGGATCAGGCAGGGCAGTTGCATTTCGGGCGGCGGGTCAGAGTGCACAGATCTCACTAATTTGTGTGACTCAGATGAATAAGATCCGAGCCCGGCAGCCGGGGACAATACAGCGGGAGCCATTGTGTGAGTGCGGGGAGGTTGGCTGGAGCTGCAGGCGCCCATGCCTTGGTTACATGCCTTCCATCAGCGACACAACGGCGACACGGGAGAACGCAGTCCACAGGTTTCTCCCCGCGTCCCTGCACACCGTGGCTCGGAGAGCTGTTCTCCCAGTCCCCCAAGCTGTCTGCCCTGTGACCTTGTCTATTTTATGGTGCTACTCTTCATGCTGTTTATACAGCCTGAAGAGCAGATCTTCCCTGCCTTAACAGGGCAGATGCTTCCTTTCCACTCGTACAGGCACATGTGTGCGGTCTTTTCCTTGTTAAATTGTTCTCGCATGGAGTTCCTGAAAAATATAAAGGAAAAAAAATTATATATATTAATTGGAAAAGCAGCAATTTGGAATAAGAAACTCAGCCCTTAAAGTCAACCTTTTTAGATTTTTACCTCAGCCTTAAGTATAATTTACAGTGGGAAAGCAGAGATTCCTTTTTTACTGCAGTAAACAGTGCCCTTTAGCGGGCAAATTGCTGGTTAGAAACTTCCCTGCTGAAAAAAACTCTAGTTCTTCTGTATGAGGAGTGTCTAGTTTAGGAGTGTGGAAAGAAATAATAGAAAAAATTGAAGAAATGTGGCGGCTCAGTTTGGAACAGCCACAAAAACTTATTTATAATGGAAAAATTATGGCAATAGTGTGGGCAAAGGTAAAGAAACCCTCTTTTGGTTTACATCTTCCAACTCCACAGTATGTTTAAATTGATGTTTCTTATTTCTACTCTTAAAATGTTCTTTAGAAATAGTAAATGGGGCTCCAGTTTTGCCATTCAATTATTTTTTTTCATTATGAAAACCAAAATGTTCGTAAGCACCTGTAAGTTCCTGTTCCTTGTTACTTATTCAAGACAAGGTGTTATTAGGATTGTTTTATTCATTCACTTTTTTTTTTTCTTTTTTATTTTTTAATACCAGGAAAGAAAGAGACAGTCACATGTAGCAACAGTGATGTAGATCCTGCAGGAAGGCTAATTAAAGCAGTGTGGAAAAAGAAAACTACACCAAGAAGGCATGACCTATACACTGGTAAGGAGAGATATGCAAACATACAGAATTTTAGTTATAATCACCAAGGCCACAAATCAGCCTGCTTCTGGAAGATACTCTTATTGTAATGAATTTCCTCAATATCTTGTGTTTGACAACAGTCAGAGATAACAAGCGATCAGCAAGAAGAAATATGACACTTGACATTTTAAGTGGCCTGTTAGTATTATTTATTCTGCTAAAACATACAGTTCCTCATCCACTAAATGTTGGAAGGGGGAACCAAAGAGCGTCTTTCACTGTGTAAATTCATGATAAGTGTGCTATCCCGGGCATCCCTCATGAAGAGGGAACATTTGGCTTTATATGAAGATGCTGACTGCAGTTAATCTGTAGGAAATTTGGCAGAGAGGCACCTCGTGGTCACAGCAGACACAGGATTCACACAAAAGCCTTTTGGACTACAGGTACCTGTGGTCTTTGGAGAGTAGAGGTAGGGTACAGTCACACCATGTAACAGCATAGCTAATTTATTTACAGGAAAACCTGTGTTGCCAGAACTCAGGAGACTCCCGTGGCAGCTGGAAGGCATCTAGAGGCATTTGAGAGGGTAACCACCCATGTATCTAAGCACTTTTCCTAGCAGGTAAAAGAGAAACCTGTGATTCACTGCAGTGATGAGAATTTGTGGGGTGTGTGATGGCCACATCCATGGAAACATGAGCTGAACTGATTCAGGTGAGTTCTGGCACAGGCCAGCAGTTGGCAAGACACCTGTAACAAGCTCTAGCTGCTGGAGGAAGGCAGCCAGGCACTGCCTGCTGAAGCATCACCTCTTGTACCTGGGGACAATGGGATGTGTTTGCAGTTGGTGGCAAAAAAAAAAGAGAGGAAAGAAAAGAAACAAGCATGGAAAATGGAGGAACTGAAAATGGAATAGAGATCTGAATTTGGGTATGGCAAACAAATGATACAAAGTAAGAGAGAAATGCTTGAGCCCTAGTGGAAGAGAAGTTAGAGCAGTAGTTTCAAAATAAGATTATGGTAGCTGTAGGGAAGGAGGGGAAGATCACCAAGTACAGGACACAGTTCTGTAGAGGTGGGGGAAATGAGCAGTAGAAAAGAGACCAGGGGTAAAGGAGGGACTGGAACAGGATGGAGAAACAGAAAAGATTCAGGAAAAATGAGAAGGAAAAAAATGATCCACCCTTGTAAAGGTTTTTATTTTTCACAAATAAAAGCTGATGAAGTAGAATAAAGAATAAACATGTAAATTCAACTGAAGGAAACTAAAATGATGGGAAGAGTGGAGGGTGGAGAATGGAATAAGGATAACAAAAAATTGAAACATTAATAAGTAGAAAAAATAGAAGAATTAGTAACCTGTTCTTAGGTAATGTGGGCTTTGTAAAATTTATTTCTTAATTCCCCACAGTCTAAGAAAAAGAGATACGATGATATATGGAAGAAATAGTGTTTCATTACATTAGTTTGTCTCACATTTCAGGAAAAGGGGTCTCCTCAAAAAAAAACAACCAAACATCAAAACAATAAGTGTTTTCTTTTTTATTTCAGAAATAAGTACAGAGACTGTAACACCTGTAATGCTGTTCTGTCCTCTCTCCCCTTTCTCTTTTTCTCAGTTTTGAGTCTATGCCTCAGGGATTTTAATTTTGACATCTTTCATTCCACCCCCATGTATCAAATTTAACGTCACTTTAACTTCTGGTTTTAAATGAAGTATTTTTAAAAATCTCATCGTTTTAGGCTTATGGGGGTTTGGCTCTCTTAATTAGTACCTTGACTGTGTATTCAGTGGCACTGGCATAAATCTGCATTTTTCCATTGCACTTCTCAGCAATCCAAGAGCATTGCACAGTCAAGACAAAATATATTTTACCAGTGAGGAGGAGATGGCAGAGAGATTAAATTTCTTATCCAGACCCACAGAGTTTTTGAGCATGAAAGTGAAACCACACTTTGGGCACTGTTTATTTGAATGCTCCAACTGTATGAAATACAAACATAAGAGGAAGAAATGCTCACATGAGTTTGGCTGAAAACAAACCTATTTTGTGCAGATACAGTGTTTATAATGCATGGTGTAAGTATCTGAGATAAGGAATTACCTACAAAGATTAAAAAAGCAGCATTTTCTATTCCTTTCTAGAAATAACAGGCTCTTAATCTACACTTTAATCAGCTTTATTGTAAATACACTCATGTTAGAATGATACAGTTTGATTTTCTTGTTCTATTAATGCAGTCAATGCCACTTTTCATCCTGCAGTCAGTCATTCTTTACCCTGAAAAATTGACCATTTTCTAAAAGTAATGCAGTTTTCCTGCTGTAATGTGAAATGATAATTCCTTTTTGTACTTGTGAAAATCCAGCAGTAAAATTACGAAGACATGCTGGAGAATTTTTCTGTTTGTGTAGCACTTCCATGTGGAAGATTCAAATTACTAGTCTGACTTCTAAACTCTTCATTTTTAAAAGATATATCAATATATCCACTTAAATGGGTAGGATAAGCCAGCAGTGCTGTTCTGACCAGCCCAGTCTTTGCTGTTTGTATGCCATAAATCTACTTAAAAGTTGTGTTTGATTGCCTGAATCTATCAAGGTTAGGAGTCACTTTTGATGCAACAGAGTAAGGAGGCAACGTAAATATACTTGCTTTTATAAAACTAAATCTTGGACATGTGTAACATTTTTTATTGGGATGAACACAAACTGCTATTCCAGACTTTCCACGGCACACCACTCCACCAGTGTCTACTTTATAAAAATGAGACTAAATCCCACAGTCAGTATTAGACAGAAGGCTGAGAACTCAGCCCAAAATACTGCCTGCTCTTGCAGTTCACTCTGCCATTGAAGTTTTGGGGAATGAAGCAGTTAAGGAAGTGCAAATACCTTTTATACCAAGGCTTTCTGGATCATGAATGGCAAGATGAAGTTATCCTGGCTAAGAAGGTAGTGATTTATTCACAGATGTGGAAGCTGGATATAATTTTAAGAGATCCTTTCATGAAGATAGTTAAATGGATAGTCTATGTGATACAAAAAAGGTTGACAAAGCTGAAGTTTGCAGTTTGGTGACAAAAGTTGAAGGATGAAGACTTTTAAGTCAGACACATTCTAAAAAAGGCATTGATGCAACTATTTCCCATTGAAAAGAGTAAGAGGATTCAGATCTAAGTTTAGAAATAATTAAGGCATAAAAAGATACAGTTGTCTATCTAGGAGAGTGGGGAGCACTGAACAGTGCCTAAGATACAAAGTTCCATTAGGACAAATTTCTGACTGGGTTTTTTGTTGCACAGGCTGCTTTTGTTTGGAATATGTTGCACTGAAATGAATGGCAAACCTCTTTGTATCCATCCTCACAGATGCACTGATGCAAGGGCATGGGGTAAAAGTGGGATTTCATAAAGTTCTTCCAGGCATGAAGTGTGAAAAAGGTATATTGAAGACACACTGAAATGAAAGGAAAAAAAAAAAAGGAAGTAATAAATGGAGAAAGAAAGCAAAAAATTGGCTTATAGGGATGAAATGCTGCGGAGGATTAGTGTGCAGGGGAAGATTTTGTAGAGTTCACATTTATGCATTAATTGGGAGAATAAGAATCTGTGTATTAAGCTTCATGCCCAACTTTCCGAGGCTGCAGTGATAACCAATGATCTAAATCCACTTCTGGGCTGAAGAGAGCCCAAGTTTACAGCCAGACTGTCACAACTGACCTACTTGGTACTCTTGACAGTGTCTCAGTGGAGAGACCAAGGAACAGATGGGAGTACAGCCTGATGCATCACTCTGGTACCAGTCTTTTCTGAACAAAATCAAATATTTTTGAGAGTACAAAACATACTGAAGAGCCCTGGATGTTGCAGACCAGAAAATGCCACCATTGCCTGCACAGAAATTTACCTTCACCAGCTGGGTTTGGCTAAAATTCCAGAAAGCTCGGCAGCAATGTTTGTTTAAGGGCTCCTCATTCCCTCTCTGAACTTCTCTCTCTCTCCAAATTATTGAACACATTCCAGCTATAAGTACTGAGCACTATTTCCTTGGCACTGAGGCTTCAGTGGGCTTGAACCAAGAGCTCTTGCTGTGCAAATCAAACCATAGGGCAACAATGCACATCACTGAGCTGAGAACCTAGAGGGAAGAGTGTTTCATGAGATATTCTAGTTCAGAGATCTCATTTCCATTCATTCTTTACAGTGGACTCTTCTGCAGCCAAAGAATCTCCCTCTCCTTACCTGTTTTACAAATGGGTTGAAGATTCAGCTTCCTTCTGTTCAGTGAGGGAAGGGATCATTTTTTCAGCCTTGGCAGTGTGCTGTTCTTTTCCTGCACAACATCTGCTGCAGTTTTCATGGCTTGAATTGTTCCTGGACTCATTTTAAAAGGCATGTTTCAGAAATGTCTTTGAGGATATGAATTATTAGTCATTGTTTTATCTTCTAGGGTGTTCTTCATTTATCTTTGTTATTTTCCTTTTTAAAATTAGACTAAAGAGGCTTTGGAGTTTAAAGTTTATAGGTTTTAATTCAGGTTTAGACTAAACATAACAAGAATGGTAAAATAACTCATAGCAATTGGATTTTAGTGCAGTTTCAGTAATTAATTTTTGTATGACAATAAACTGGGATTTAATCTCCATCTAACTCATGCTTCTTACCACTGTAGTATTTGTGTACACACTTTTCACATACATGTGACAATTCTGACATTTACTGTTCCAAAGCCTTTGCATTATTTGTACCTCATACCTCATTTCTCCATCACTTCATGTATGACAAGATGTTTGATACTTAGTGCACTTTTAAACCACTTTTTTTTTTTGGTGTAAAGTAACTAAAAAAGAGATTTGGCTCTTCAGTTTTCTCACTTAATTCTGATTAATATGTTTAATTTTTTTCCAGAACAACTCACATCTTCATCTTGGGCTCTGTATTTTACTCAGCAGCATCCTCAACATTTACTCTGCCTGTGACACCCTTGCCAAACTTCCAAAGGCTGTTTGGGATACACAGTTTCCAGTAGGACATTTTGAAGACAAAAGGTTTGTGCAAGTTTAACTTGGAGCATGAACTGGTCTGAAGAACAGTGTCATCAATTTTGTTATACTTGTGAGGTATTGGAAGAGTACTGCAAGGTAACCCTACAAACAAAGGTAGGTAACAGTAAGGAACAACTTAACTCCCTTGGCCCTCCATCCTGGTGTGTCATTTCCTTTGGGCTGGAAGTTTTGCCCATCTTGTCTTGTAAGAGATAAAATCTTTGTCTGACTTACTTCAAAACATGCACTAGCTTCTTCAGGCAACTATGGGATCAGTTCCTATATTTAACTGAGTTATTTGATTTGTTTGCAGTTTCCAAAATGAGCAAAAGCTCATTAAAGGAATAGGGGCAATTCCAGAACTCTCTCTGATAGTGAGAATATATTTTAGGCAGCATAAGAAAGTAGCCTATAGTGTGGAATCCTATCCCTAAGTATTTAGACTGCTGGAGAATCCAGAAAAAAAATAAACTTGTCTAATAGCCTTTCTATCTGTGTTTTCATTAAGTCTGAGACAGCTCAATAAGGAACCTATGGCATGATTTTTGAAATTTGTTATTTTTAAATATTATCTGTTATTACAGAGGATTCATTAAAAAAACCCAAAAAACAAAACAAAAACTCATCAAAATCTTACATACTTTTTGCCTTCCAAATGCACAAAAAGTTTAGATAAAATCTCATTTAATTACTACCAAAACAAACCTCCTGTACTAGACTGCTTTCATTTTTTTCTGTTAGTGATGATGTTTCCATGCCTCTTCTGTCTATGCTGGCTTTCCAGTTCAGTGTCTTTTGTGTCTGATTTCTTTATAATCTCACTAAGGTTGGTCAGGAATTCTATTGTCTCCTAAGGCTTGGTAAGAGCATTTGACAGACTGTGAACTAGAGATGGAGTAGGGAGAACAATTGAGCCATTTTTGTCATCTGAAGATGACTTTCAGACCGGTTTGCACACGTGATTATTCTTCCAGTTCAAATGTAAAAGAATCTGGATTTTGCCCTATGCATTGAACTTATACTGAAAGTTTTACCAACTTTACAGCCTGTTAGTTTCATTTGATATTATTGTTGAACTAAAAGGTGTGTATTCAGGCACACACAGAACCTTCATTTGAAATAACTCCTCTGTCTTAAGAGAGAAGAACCATGGGGTTACTGAATTATTTAGATAAAGAGTGTGTCCAGCTCTGCTCTGTAAATTACAGTCTCTAGGCACTGGGACATGAAATTCCATAGGACAAAGGTTTTCATCTACAGCAACTGCTGTTCTACAACTGGTGTGCCATTGGCTGTACCCGTTCTTGGCACTGACCAAGAACAAACAGGATGAGGATTCATCTTTGGTTCTTTCACTTATTTTTTTTTATGTATTTTTGAAGGCCAGTGAGTGGAGGGAAGCGTATAAAGAAAGAGGATAACACTGATTGGCATAACTGGTCAATAATGTGTCCAGCTCTGAATCAAGAGACACAGGAATCCATTACTGGAATATTCATGGTATCATGTACCATTAGGTTGTCTGAGGATATATTGTTGATAAAACATCCCTGGCAGGATCATCCTTTGCTCACAAAGGCTCACAGAAAAATTGAAGCAAAACCCGCCAAAGTCACCTCTCACTTAAAAGAAATATTTCAAACATATTCTAACAAATCCTGGCTGGAAAATGTGCAAATTGGATTTTCAGTAATGAGACCCATCAGTAGGCACATTTTCTTGACATATTCTGTCTTGGAAATAGTGATTCAATTTTCCAAAAGTCCTTTAATTTGCTTAGAGAGGAAAGCATTTTCATTTTGCACAGTCCGTTCTAATAATTTGCTAAATTCAAAATATGTGAAATTGTTGAAGGTGGTTGTAGTGACCAGAAGGACCTCTAATCTTCTAATAATATTTTTCTTTTTCCCATGAATCATGTAGGTTTGCACAAGAGATTTTTCAGTACCGATAAAACACATAAAACACAAATTTTAGTTGACATTCCTGCTGCTTGTCTCTTCCACAAACAGAATTCTGGACATTTGCTAGTGATCCCCTTCAGAAGATTTGTTTTAGAAATCTCTGTTAACTGCTGGGGTGTGTGGTTAAAAACTTACATTTTCTCCTATGACTAAAGTTCCTTAGGAATTCCCTTACAGATGAGTCTGGGTATTGATACTTCCTATCTTGACAGTAACAAGCATGATGAGCCAGATGAGGAGCAGTTGGGAAGGAAAAAGTTTTCCACAGCTCTTTTATGCTGTAAAGCCTTGAAGAGTTTTAAACAATAATCCTTTATCCCACAGTATATTCTCCAGGCTCTTTTGGGCACCGGATGTGTGGACTTTGGAATGCCTCAGGAGAGCTACACAGAAATAACTAGTATTCTGCCCCAAAAACACTCAGGAGAACGCCAAGGCAGTGTGCTCAGCTAACTTTTTGGTTTGAAAACCAAGCTCATAAGCAGTGTCCCTCTAACAGACATTTTCTATGTCTTTTTTATTTAATAACTAGGTATTGTTAAATACCTTGGTTTTATAAAGAGGATATCCCTTTAGTTGTCACATAAAGTATTTATTCAATCAAATATGTTTTATGAAAAGAGTTGGGTTTTTTCCTGCTCTGTTTCTGGTGTTCCAGTAATTGTTATGCAGATACAAATGCTTATTTTAAGTGGGTGCTTTTGTCATTTCTCTTTCCTGGAAGCATCATGTGAGGTTTCTGTCCAGAACACTGAACTGCAGCACAGGGCTGGTGCTTCTGTGGCTGGCAGAGAGAGTCCAGTGCCCATGAGGACAGACACTGTCCTGCACTGGAAATAAGGGTGTAGGTAGATATGATTATCATAAAATAAGAAGGGACTATACTCTTGCTCTCCAAATCTATTGTTCATCTCTTTTTATTTTACAGTGCAAGGGTTAAGACATTTTCCTGCAGCATACCTTACTTAATTATGAATATTAATCCCTATTAGGAGCATTAGGCTTCCTCAGGGATTCACCTAAGGACAACTGAAATACAGGGGATGAGTTGAAGACCAAGATTTTGACAATATTTTGAGATTTGATGGAGAAGACAGTCAAAAGTGTCAACTACAAGGGGCACTGAAGTTGCTTTATTTACTTACTGGTGAATGTCTGGAGTAAAAACTGATAATCCCCAAAACTCAAAGAAAAATACTTAAACCAGGAATATTTTTCCTATAGATTGTCAAACATTTGTATTCCGGATGCAAATGGAGCCTTGCTGCTTTTGCTGATCACTTGCTAGTGGAGGCTGACACCCATTTGCAGAAGAATCAGCACACAGACTTTCAAGGTTACCAGTGTCAAACTTCTGCACAGAACTGCAACATCTTCAACCAGGACTTCATTCCTTTGCTTCTAACACTCTCTGCTTACCAAATTATCCATTGAACTCCTGTGCTCCTCCAAAGGAAAAAAATAAAAAAAGGAAATGGGGTACAAGGCAAAAAGGTAGGGAGGGATACTGGCTACAAGGTTAGTGCAGCTTTATGGATGCCCAAAATTTTGGGTTTTGCTGAACACTTTCCAGTGGAGACTGACACAGTGAATTTTGTCGTCTTGTTTGACTGAAGTTTTGAAGTCAAGGTATTACTGGTTAAATCCCAACTTCCAGTGTTTCAAATGATCCTGGGTGAGGAGCAGAGAGAGGGGCAGGAAAGAAGAACAAGAAATCACCCATCAAAACAGTAAGTTTTTAACTGATTTATTGACAGACCTTTAGTCTTCTGATGGGTCAGTTAAGACAAAAACCATCCATAGGCTTCTCTGTTCCGTCCCTTGTCACCCCAATCCATACTTCTGTCAGATGTTTCTGTAATGAGTTCTAGACTAAGTTCATTTTTAGAAAACAAACAGAAGGAGAATGGCATTACTTTAACCTGAGACAGTCTCTGTGTCATGAGCTACATTGTAGATCTAGGGGGGAGGAATAAGTATATTAAATAATAATATATAATAATATAATCACATAAAGAAAGGAGGTTAAAGGAACTGACAGTTCTCCATTTTTTCTGGATACCTCCTGCTGTCTTCTGCTCTTTGACACACAGGGAACCCATATGTGCCTTAAATGTTCAAGATCTTCAGATGCAATTGATGGGTGCTGATGGGTCAATTCCACAGCATTCACTGTATATTGAGTCTAACCAACACTAATAATTACCTGTACTACATTGCTAGAATTCTTGTGCAAGTTGTTCTTTTTGTATCATTTGAAATGGAGTAGTACAGCACAGAGGAGCTGGAATCCCTATCCTGAAGAATTCAGTCTAGAAACTTACTTCCAATGTCAAACAAAAGACAGAATGTATGAAAAGATAAATTATTCAGTAATGAATCCTACACACTTATAATGCACAAGTTGTAATGAATCTCAGTTGCTCTTGTAATTTTGTAAAGTTGTTTACCTAATATGGTAGATGTGCCATATGGTACACTAAAGAGAGTGTTAGAATGAGGACGTGAAGATTTTGAGGGTTTTATTTCTAGTTCTGTAGGCATCTGTAAACTACATTCAAGCTGTCCTAGAATGTGAGCAGAGGAAGAATGCAGGCTGCTCTGCCCCTTCATGCTGACTGCTGCTGCCACCTGATAACATCCTGCATGTCTTCCTCCCTTGTTCCTCAGGCACTGTGGCCCAGCATGGGGCTGTACCCTGGCTAGATGCCATCAAAGAAAGTCTTTCAGCCACTCTGCACCTTTAGGTTGGCTTGGCTTAAGTCAAGCTTTTTCACCCTTAATAAATCATTTGAGCAGCTGATTAACTCTTCTGCTGGGTAGGGAATGTGACCAGGCTTCTGTTCCAGAGAGTTCTTTGGTATGTTGCTTATAGAATTTCACCATAGCTAAAACTAGCAACGTGCTCGACTGTGGCAGCAGCAGAGGTTGGGACTGCCCTGCTCAAAGCAGCATTTCTGTCTTGTAAGAAACAGTCAACGTGACCTACAGTGATGTCTGTAAAATCACAGCTACTTTGCAGCACTGTAATTTGTCAAAAATTGATAAAATGGGAGTTAAAATTCATACAGATGAAAAGGGCAGTTTCTTGTTCACCCTTGTGTGTCAAGTGATGACTGAGAAAACCATTTGAGTACAAGAATAAAATATTAATATAAAACTCAGAGAATATAGGCAGTCTCTCAGGGTGATGCCACAGGGGTGAGTGGAGCCTTGGGAAAAGCTTAACATTGTAATTTTTAGTTATCAGCCAGAGTCTACTGCAGGTGAGAAGAGGACATAGAAACTAGAAGAGTTACTCACTATGAACTGAATTTCTAGAATTTTTTCTTTTAAGGTACTTGCACTATATTATTTGTGGCCTGTATATTAAGAGCAAATAATTTCAGTTTTTATGTGAATTTTTGGCAAACAGCTTCTCTCTTTATATGTTTGCATATTTGGGGAGGAGGTGAGAACTGGACAGTACTTCAGCACTGTTCCTATTGCTCATGGGGTCAAGGGTCAAGCAGATCAATTTAATTCATGTTAGAGTACTACAAGTTAAGAGATCACCACAAATATGTGATGGGGGAAGTGTTGTCACCCACATCTGGGCAACTCTACATAGAGAAAAATTCGGATATATTTAAAGTGATCCCCTTTTCACAGATGGCTCTTGCTCTTCCAGGTCTCCAGCAGCCTCCAGGCAGCATCTTTCAGGCCAGTCAATTCCCCAGAATCATCAACCAGCAGGTGCTGAGCCAATCCCACTACAAGAGAGTTCCACCCTCTAATGCCACCCATTCCCAAAACATAAGAGCAAAGCTTATTTTAAAATCCTGATATAAGAGGGGCTATTTTAAGCTTGCTACCCCTTAAAACTTGAAAGTTAAGTTAAATCAGGCATTGGAAAAAGTTGCCCGGAGAGGTGGTAGTGTCACCACCCCTGGAGGTGTTTAAGAGGCATCTGGATCTGGCGCTGGATGATGTGGTTTAGGGGTTACAGTGGCAGTGCAGTTGGACTTGATCTTAAAGGTCTCTTCCAACCTTGATGATTCTATTCTGTGAAAGATAAATCGCACCAGCTGATAGTATTGTTCCAAGTGCATCTGGTAATACTATTCCAGTAATTCAGTTTTCTGGGGAAACAGCGCCTGGCAGAAGAGCGCATTTATTGAAAGGCGGGTTGTATTTTTACGTTATTTACTTCCTTTATGATGGTTGCACAACAAGGTCAAAGTGCAGCTGCCTCCTGTAAGCGATCATGTCCACCTGCAGCCAGCGCGGCCCGGGCCCGGGGCTGCGCTCCCCGCCGAGCGCCGCTGCGGAGCGCGGCTCTCCCCCAAGGGTTAAGCGGCGGCGGGGGTGTAACGCGGGCTGACACACGGGCGGGGATCGCCCCGCCGTGCCGGCTCGCAGCTGCGACTGGACCGTTCAAAATTGCCGTCTCCCTCTCTTTTCCCCCCCGCCTCCCCTCTCTCTCCTTTTCATTTTCTCTTTTCCCTTCCCGGCGCTGGGCTGGCAGCCGGGCGCGCTTTTGCCGGAGCTGGCCCCGGCCGTGCTGAGTCAGACCGCGCCCGGCGCCCGCCCCCGCGGCCCGGC